ATGCAATATGGACTGAGAAGGTCCTTCAAGGCAGGTGCTTGAGGTTCAAGTTGTTCCATTAATAAAGGAGTCGGGAATCCAAATCTGTGGCATACTGCTGTGGACAATGTGCTAGTACCTCAAATTCCATTACTCACATCTGGTAAGACACCTACTGGAGTTGTTTTAAAATAGTTCCTTATTCACTCTACAGGCACTGAACCTGAAGGCTCCTGCCTTCAGGAGCCCCCTATAAACATTTCTTAACATGCTTTCACTGATCCTTTCACTCAGTTCTGCATCCAGATAAGACGATAACCACTATTATTTCATAAAGAAGTAAACACACCTCTTTGTCTAATGAGATTCTCATTTGCTTTTCACCTAGAAGGCTGTGAATACTTTGAGGCGGGTCTGACCATCTGCCTGTCAGCTAGGCTACCACTGCATTACATTTTTATTTTTACATATTTATGGCTCAGTCCAGAAAGGAAGGTTTGACTGTAATTTATTACAACAGGTGGAAGCCACTGAAATTTGCTTGGATCCCTTCGTACCAAGAATTATTCATGTCACACAAGGGTGGGAAATACACTGCTGTGGCTCTTGCTCAGAGATATTTCTCCTTTAATCGTTTTAGAATCACATATTCCTAGGATTCTCAAAGAGTAAGAAGGACTGGAAAAAAACATATTAAGCAGCCTAAAGTAGAGATTCAGAAGGATTTTCTATAAATGGAACAAGAGAGTTTTTCTTCCTTTGATTTCTTTTCTTTAAAACACCATGTTTACATAGTGCAAAAGGAATACAAAAATAGAAGCCAAGACAAAATTTTAAGATTCAGTGCAAAGAAGAGATCTCTTGCCCACAAACTACAAACTCTTCTAGTAGCACAGATATTTCAGAGAGATGCAGAGCCACAGCATAATATCCAATAATCATCACTCACAGAGCAAGCTTAACACTTGTTCTCAAATTACACGTACTGAAAGCTACAGAAATATCGAAGATTCATGAGGGAGGAAAAAAAATAAAAAATACCTGCAGTAAGTTTTGCCATGAAAACCTGGACAGCATTCAATGGTTGGATCTCTCTCTTATATTGTCATGAGACAAAGTGAAGTCTATATTATATAAACACCAGGATTTTTTTTTCCCTAGAAAGTATCTGGCAGTTGAGAAGAACTTAACGAAAGCAATTCAACTGCAGACTACAATGGTCCCCCACAACAAGGTTTGCTCTTCCACTCCTTGACAGCGTTTCACATTTGCATGCCAATTTTATCTCTGAAGATGAATGAAGCATTTTGAACTATTCCTCATTCAAAATATTCCTGTCTGAGCAAACACATCTAAGACTCGACAAAGAAGGGGATACCTTACTACGCTACACTCTGCAGGCAAAATGAGGAAGTTCTAGAATTCAATTTGATGCTGTGGAAATCCGAGCATGGGGAATGGAATTAAGAAATCTTCCCCTCCAAAACAGGAAGATTCTTGTGATTAGTCAGGATTAATTCAACAGGCTCTTCTTTCAATTGAAACCATCAATTTTCATGCATTTTTAAAATCTTTCTCATATTCTGAGGCTATATGGTCAGGCTAAATGATCTGAAATTAAGAATACTGAGCTGTAGCGTCGTAAGTAATGCGTGGTGTTGGAAATGCCTACTAACCAGACTGTAAACTTGCCTGTCTGTTCCTTACCAGCAAAGCATATAACAATGTAAAACCAGAAAAATAAGAATATGAAATATTTTTTTAACCAGTATTTTGACTTAAATTTAAAAAAAAAGCAGAAGGGTGCACTTTGCAGTGTTACCAGCCATTATTAAAACTTCGTACAAACAATGGAGACCTTCAAGATTCAAATAGCCTGTGGGTTCCCTGTATGTCCTGAGAGATTTCCCTTATGTGTGTTTGTGCCATACAGCTCAGGCAATTAAAATGCAAATGCTCTGATGAACTTGTCTACCAATCAGCTACTCAAATGTCTGCTAAATTTGCAACATACCACTTTGAATATTTAGAATAACATTCTTCTTTTTACAGCAGGCCTTGAGTACTATGGAACTGGTTACCAGATAGGAAAGTCTTTGCTTAGTTCTTCAGGAGGTTTCTGCACAGATTTAAGCATCCTCAGTATCAGCAACTGATAGCCAACAAACTAGGAAAGCCTGACAGTCAGTGTTGGATTGTGTCTTAGAGATGGTGACATAAGTGGCTTCCTGTTCAGACACGACTAAAGCCCATGAATCGATGGGACTGCTCAGAGAAGGAAGTCAGACCTTCCAACAGATCTCAGCTTGTATGAACAACTGTACATAAGATGAAAGGGCTTATCAATTTAGAGATGCAAACAGGCAAAAAGCTTCCAATTTATCATGGTAAGTTTCAGGAATGGCAATGTGAAATTGCATTAAATTAGTTATGTGATGTCAGATTAATCCTTAGATGATCACAGGGGCAGGTTAAAATAGTATATGTATTTTTTGCTGATTAAGGCAATAAGAAAGACCCAAATGTGACTTATTCTGGAGGTGAAAATCATCCAGCTTCATTACATTAAGCAACATACATATCCATAATTGTAAAAAGACACCACATAAATAAGTAGAATAGATACTTAAGGGTTGTCACCTCCTCCTCACAGAATCACAGAATGGCTGAGGTGGGAAAGGACCTCCTGAAATCATCTAGTCCAACACCCTGCTCAAGCAGGGTCACCTACAGCCAGGACTGCGCTCACACAGATTTTGAGTATCTTCACAGAGAGAGACTCCACAATCGCTTTGGGCTATCTAATTCAGTGTTTGACCATTCCTACAGTAAAAAATTCTTTTCTTGTGTTCTGATGGAATTTCACAGGTTTTCAATTTGTGCCCGTTGCCTCCTGTCCTGCCACTGAGCACTACTGAGAAGAGTCTGGCTCCCTCTTCTTCATTCCCTCCCACCAGCTACACATTGATAAGCTCCCCCTTGAGACTTCTATTCTCAGATTGAACAGTGGCAGCTTTCTCAGCCTCTCCTCACATGAAAGCTGCTCCAGTCCCTTAATTCTCTTCACGGTCCTTTGCTGGACTCACTCGAGTAAGTCAACGTCTTTCTTGTACCGGGGACCCCAGACCTGGAAACAGCACTCCAGATGTGGCCTCACCAGTGCTGAGTAGAGAAGATCTTTATGGAACAAAAGTAACAATCAAGGCAAGACAGGGTCTGAGGAGTCAACTCAATGATGAATTGAAACTCCAAAATGGAATATTTTATTTTATTATGACACCTCAACACAGAATGATCATACGCTAACTCCACAGGTAAGTTCTTTCACTGCACTGAGTTAATCTAAATTCACTCATACCTAGAATCATCACGATCCACACCAGGAACTAAATATAATTAATCTGTTTCCATAAAAACCTTCTGCAAAAATCTACGTTACAATGAAGTTAATATTTCCAAAGTCATCATCTCCAAATTATTTCATATTAATATGTCACATAATATTGCTTCACTACTAGTCTTCACAGAGTTTAGGGAACAAGAACTATATATATGTGTCTCACTGTTCAAGATGAAAAGTAAAGATGGACACAAAGATGGGGTGAATTAGTATGACTCTATGGAATTCAATGCAGTTTCACCTGGTTTTGATACTGAAAGACACCCTTTCCATATAAATATACATTTGCACTCCAGCCATATTTCTGAGAGATCACCATGGAGATATGCAATGGCAGTTAACATGATCATCATCTCTATGAAACAAATTCCACATGAAGTAAAAAAGGATATAAGATGCTTCTTCCCCAAAAAGATTAGTCTGAATTTTTATATATTTTTCTTTGTGAAATATCCAGGCTCAACTAAAGCAGATCAGGAACCATTTTTGACCGGTTTAAAATAGTCCTGCTAAAAAACCCCCATGCTATGACCATTGATAGAAAAGACCTGAAAAACGAAAGCAAACTTAATTGCTATCATATGTCCATCTGTACTAATGTGTCATCCTCTGGAATAAAAGACTTAATTCTCCGCGTCCCCTCCAAAATCTACACTGTATGTTCCATACATCCATTTCATGACTGCGTCCAGCTCTAAGCCCAGAATAATTAAAATGCAGGCACTTTAGTAATACCATTCATTTAACATAGCCATATTTAACTCTACAAGGGTTCAACTTAATTTACCTCTTAAATAAGGCTTGAATTCTAAAAAGATATTGGAATATATCAATTAATTGGGAATCCCTGCCAGAAAATTACTTCACTGCTCAAACACACGTTTTCTGAAACTTTCTGTAACTTTACACAAGCTTTATTTAAGGGGATTAGATTTTGGAGGCTTAACTATTGCTGGTGTAAAAAAAAATCCACTATAAATTGCTAAAACTTAGCAAAAACATTTTGAAAATACCAACTGAAAACTTGCAGTCAATAAAAAACCTAACCCAGTAATTCAATAATTGATCCTCAGTTTAGCCTTCTCCCTTAATTTTATTCCATCTGTATATTTTGGGGTATGCTTTGTTTACTTCTTGCATTGCACAGAAACAGCTGCATAATCAGTCACTGAACTGATTGCAAGAAAATTGAGCTGATAGCCTTGTTATATATCATCTGTAGTTAGTATCTTATAAATGTATTAAAATGATATTTTTTACATATATGAATAAAAGTAAAAGACAAAAACAACTGGAGTCTGCAGTGTGTGCTAGCAATCATTGCGGGTGGGTAAACTGACAACATGTAACTGCATATTAAGACAAATGTAGAATTTAGACAAAGTATTCCATCTCTTTTCAGATGTATACTTTTAAACCTCAGGAACTGTTTTCAGTAGATGTCATGCCTTTTAACTTGAAAAAAGATAAGCGCAAATAAGCTCCCAATTGTCTCCCCAATATGTAAACCACATCTCGGGCTGCTGTCTCTGTTTCGCCTTTGAAGTTTCCCTGAAATGTCATGTGTTGTGAAGACTGCTGTGCATAAGCAAGACAATTTGCTCACTCTCAGAATTCTTACCGGTTTCCACTGCTATTTGGTATCCAGCCTCTAGTCTCCGAGATGACCTTTCCAGCCTCTCTGTGTTATCGAGCAGATGTGCCCTCTGAAAAAGAAAAGGGGAGAGAGAGAAAAAAAAATAATCAGGCAGCAGTCTACAATGTTCTCCCCCCCTTTTTAATTGTGCTTTCATATTCCAAAACATAAAAACATCCACGTATATTTTATGGAAGAGCCTGTTACGAGGACCACTGGAAGGGGCAGGTTCTATGATCAATCATAATTATGCGTACCAATCATTTTTGTTTTGAAACACGGAATACGTGCTTCACTCTCATTACATGAACTCACAAAACAGAATGCGACCATTATATGGGAAACCTGTCTGAAGAGCATTTCCAAAATGGATTTCCCTGTGACACATGTATGCGAGCACCCATGATTTCTATTCAACTACAGTTTGATGAAACCATCACTTGAAATGCAAGTGGTAGTTTTTAACATGAACTTAATTTTCAGCGGAGGATATATTTCCTTTATGTGTACTACTCAAGTGAGGTGATAAAAACAACGAGCTATTCATACAGAATACTGAACAGCATGAATATTCTTCAGACTGTTTGATGTAAAAAGATGTAGAAACAAAACACTGGTTTCTTGATTTACATCTCTTATGCCTAAATATATATATGAATATATAAATAATACACACACACGCAGGTACAAGATATTTTTCCCAGAAGTCATTTGCCCATTTATGAGATAACAATAAACTCTAGTAAATATGCGTCTTCCGATACATTTTCACTTGAGGAGTCTGTAACAGTGAAAAAGTGAAACAATTATTTTCATTAGTTTATTCTCCATCCAAAATGCCAATATTTCAACACGTAAGCTCATTTCCTTTGGAAATTTGACCCTAGACTTGCTCTAATCAAGCCATCAAAAAATAGAAGCCCCCCCCACCCCCCAGTAAGGTAATCACACACACACCCCTTTTTGAGGACCCTTTTACCCAAAAACAACATTTTTGGATATTTGTCAAAAAATATTTCCTACAACTTTGCCTTGTTGACAGATGTCATTTAAAAATCGAAGAAATGCTTTCTAATAATAATAAAAAAAGGAGGTGCCATACATATTATCTGAGTGGCTGTCTACCGAAACGATCTACCTTGCTCTAATGAGCCCCTATGGATCTTGGGAGATGCAAGCTGTATTGACATGCACACTTAAGCTAATACACCTAGACCAGTGCCTCCAAGCTCTAGCAGCCAGGGATGCTGACAGAATATCTCGCTTCTATCTTCAAAGAAAGGAAGTGATTAGTATGTTATCATTACCATTCAAAACGTGATTTCCCTATTCCCTCCCGGCATAGGTGACACATCTCTGAGATGCGGCCAGACGATCGAGGCAGCTAAAGCCACATCAAAGCTTGCCTTGAATTTTTTTCTTTTTTTTTTTCCCCCTCTCTCTTTTTTTTTTTTTTTTTTTTTGGAAATCATTAAAACAATGCATTTAGATCAGCACAGATAGGACCCAATGTGAAGGTCAGGAAAGCTGCAATAACAGTCTATAATAATTAATAGAGTTGTCTAATACACAGTGGATAGGTTAAGAGTAAATTGCAAAAAGGCCTTTTGCGTTCATGGGGGGCAGGCCACCAAGAAGAAAAAAAAAATCAGCACAAGCACTTAATAAAATTTAAAACCATAAGTTACAATGCTGTAATTGAAATCATGACAGCAACTACAGTGGTGCATGTTCTTAGGACTTATGGTCAATCTAGATAATTAGTGTTAATTTTGCTTAATTTTTTTTTAAAAGACACCTTTTCATAACATCTGCTGGTTCCTCTCTATTGCCCATTAGAAGAAAAAAAAAAAGGTGTAAGTCTGCAGTGCCTTTCGCCAAATACTGCCTTCCCTAAATGATATTAAAGAACAACTAGCGTTAAATATTTTAAACTTTGTAAAAAACATCAGAAACCTAACACTATTACATAGATGTCTCTCAAGAAAGAAAAGTAGAAAAGGAGAGGAATATAGAGAAGGAGTTTAGAAGGTAAGAATCCTAACAGTTAGAAAGAACGTACTTTAAAAAAACCCACCACAACAACATAGGCTGGGAGTGAGCACAAGGAGTAGAACATTATAATTACAGAAGAGATGCGTAACGCTGTAGTGGCATGCTGGAAATGAAAAGGCTATCCTGCTATGTTAAGGGAGAGGAGGGAAATAATCAGATTTCACGTTACAATGTGGAAGAGCTACCCAACAGAAAGAATTAGCATTTAAGTCTACATTTTTATATACTCTATAAGCTGCATTTAATCTAAAAAGTAAATTATCAGCCTACAGTTCAGTTCAGTCTTACCGCAAGCAATTAGAATACTAAAGCGCTGTGAACTCGGGGCTAACGTTAACTCAGAGCTGTTTCTTACCTGATTTCAGAACCTTTCCACCCAAGCCACTATATAATGAAACCTAATTTTTATTACAAAGGGTGGCATTATTTACATTGTTTGGTTTCGGAGGCACCCCGTCCTTTGGTCACGAAATCAATGTCCCACAGCAGCAGCTGATGCTTTCAACTGCTTCCCACCCCTCCCCAAACTCCTTCTCCCACAGCAGCCCCTGCTCTCTGCGAGGTGGGCAGCGAGGTGATTCAGCGCGTCTCGCAGCCTCAGACACAGCTTCTATCTGGAGTTATATAAGGAAGTTTTGCAAAAGTGGCACGCTATCACTAGAGATTTAGTCATTCCATGTGGGCTGGATTCAAACTGAGATCTCAGGAGCTCAAAAGACAGAGCGACACAGCCTCGGTGGAAGCCTGTGTACGGCAAGTGCGCTAGAATTGAGCCCTGTAATGAGAGGAAGCGCAGGTTTTATTAACAAACAGTATGGCAAACCACAATTTCTTTTAAGATCAGTTCATACCTCCTTAGGAGAACTATAATTGGGGATGCCTTGATGTTTCACTATGTGACGAGTTGAGAATTATGCCTGAGTCACTGTACTAGCCTTCCTTTAAACTTTAATGTGCATTTTGCATCGGGTATAAAAACAGCATTGCAATTACAACCTAGCCAACATATAGTGGGTACCTAAGTGCAGAGAACAGAATGCTAACAATTGGGTTTGAAATTATTTCTCTCTCTACCTGTACAATTTTGATCTAGACAAAATAATAAATCCCTTTATTTAGTTCTATTGGCTGCTCCTCTCACAATATGCAGAGAGAGGAAAAAGCAACTTCTGAGGCTGGCAGGGAAAAGCAAAAAAAGAAAATTACCAGAAGCAACGTCAAAAATTTTTTAGGTGGCTAACAAGGAAGATTTATAAACTCCAAAAGGTATGACTGAGTTCAGTGTAGCTCCCAAGTTGCAGTCCTTTGCAACAACATCCTGAATTTTCTTATTTGCCTTCATAGCTATTTCAAAAAGAAGAGCAGTTAAGTAGCAGCTTTGTTCTTTGTATCTGATTAAATTTTCAGAGTAAATTTACAAATTAGGAATCTTCACGTTTCTAAAACTATAATCTATGTTTGCAGGCAAAAGTGATCCTACTATATTCTTTTACAAAAGTACAGGAGCAGATGTGCAGGTGTTGTTAAAGGGATGAGCAAAGGAACCTCGTTCTTCTGAAAAATCTCAGAAAACAGGCTATACAAAGCCATGCAACAATATTGTCATCTGTTTAAATCCTGGGACTATTGGGGAGGGGAGCTCAGCAGTGGTGGGAGGGCTTTCATGTGGTTACATGTTTATTTTGTTTAATTTTTTTTTGTTAACTGTTTTACTCTGTAGCTTTAACATATTAATATCAGCTCCACAAGAAGAGGGAAAAATAAAGGACTCAGGGAACTAGTGAGAGAATCTTTATATCACAAATATCTTACTGTTTTTTAAGAATTCTCTGTAATTGTCCTTAATCTGGTTACTTTACAATTCTTTGTCATCACCATTTCTAAAACTTACAAATCCTTTCCTGCAGAGCTCAGTATTCATTACTGATATGTCTGGGAACACATGTTTCAAAAAGAAGATACCAGACAAATATGTGATGTTAAAATACTCCTGCTTCTAAACACATTTATTCAAATACTTCACTGGTTCAAACTCTCCATACGAAACCCTTCAGAAATCTGACCTATAAGTAATCTGGACTTTACTGAGACCTCCTTTTTGGCAGCTATCGGGAAATAATAAAAAAAGAGCCGTTCAGATACCTGCTTTGCTACAGCAGTAAGTAAGAGAGGAGATTAATTTCAGAAAATATACTGAAACATTTGAGGAACTGGCCATTAAAACAGGCTTCTCTCTCTAAATATTTATGAGTCATTTTACAACTGGAAAAAAAGGTGTTCTGGAATACTGATCTCTAGTGTTACACCTACAGATCTACAGCACTCACAAATAAATAATAAATATTGATATGTGTGCGTAGGTCTACCTGTACTGTTTTTACAGTGGGTATACAATATCCAATATAATACCTAAGCTACTTGAATACCTCACACCAAACTCAAAACATTGTGAAATACTGTGTAATTTTTAGAGTGTTTCAGCCCAGGCTTTTACCAAAGCACTGCTTTCACTTTCAATACCAGTGTATAAATGTATTTACTCTATCAAAGATTTTGTGATGCAAACATGATTATTACTGTACCTGATTTGATCATGGTATTCTAGCAGAGATCAAATAACAGGGTGTTTTTTTCCCTTCTTTTTCTAGTGCCTTTAAAAAAATTTCCACTATCAAAGAATGTTAATTTCTAAGGTTTGATCTAGAGATTCCTATGTAAGTATACAATTATTAGGGAAAAAGAGGCACAACAGTGAATATTTTAAAGCAATGTAATCAATATTTTTGCTTTGTGTAGATTTCCCTGCAACAATGAACAAAAAGATCTACTTCAGATTTAGAAACTCAGCTTTAAAGGGAAAGCCAGACAACAAAAAGCAAGAAAGTACTCACCTCTTCACGTAATTTTATCAACTGCAACATGAACGCACAAAAAAGATAAAAAGGAAAGAAATGGCAGGAAAGAAAGATCAGTTGTGTGACAGGATACAGAATTAACATTGACAATTTATCTGTTTACATGTTTAGCATTTAAAAATCACAGACAAACACATTAAAAGAACCTAAACATAGACTACATGCAGAGTTTTTTGAACGAATAAAGATCACTTTCTCACACTGTCACATTAAACAAAGAGAATAGTGTGAAATTCTCTTTTAAACCACATCTAAGACACCATCATGAAATAAAGGGGAATGACTTCATAGAAGTCTATATTATAAAGAAAAAAACAAGTTTACTATTCCTCTCTTCGAAGATTGTACAGCTGAAGTGGTTTTGTATATACAAGTTTTCAGAATGTTTTCTGTATATTTTAGTTGTGACAACTGATTTCTTATTTTACTAGCAGATCTAACTTATTAATAGATGACTGCATCTTTATAGCATGTAACCGGTATTTCAATTTTTATATACCTGAGTTCTAATGTGACTATATTATCTAATTTTATTATTGAACCTCATAGAGAGGGTTTTTTCCAGTAAAAAAAAAAAAAAAAAGAAGCAGCTTAGTTAAATGGCCCAGAATTATGATTTATTGCATAGCATATTTAAAATAGACAAAGGAATAGGGAACAACATGAAACACATTTCCCTTAGAAAAACCCAGTCTAGGTCCTTAATCCTAGACCGCTACACAGTGTATGTATACACACACACATTGTGTGTGGGTATCCTTATATAGTATATGCATTTATATTTATCAATTTATGCTTGTAAATCAACAGAATCTAACACTATTAATAATACTGCTCTGGCAGGTTTACTATAAAACTAAATAAAACCCCAGTCTGATTATCAAGCTATGTTGTAATAAGCTCTCCCCTTAGAGAGAGAGAGAAATTATTTGTACTGGAACAAAACGTCTAATTACTCACAACAAATGTCTGTATAAGGGTGGCTCTTTATGAAAAAATTACAGTTCTCTCACCGATTCCAGTTGAATGTGAAATTACAACAGCTACATCATTATCTCAGTTTATGCTGCTATTTCACCTACAGTTTCATAACACTAATTTTCAACACGTGTGTAAGCTGAGAATGTTTACTACTAATAAAGTCCTGCCAGCATGAAGGAAACAAAAGAACCTCCATTATTCTCTATTGTTTCATATGGCTCATCTAAAACTCAAGGTACGCCTCACCCCGTTCCCAAAACGGACAACGAGTCTCTAACGAGATGTAATTAGGAGGGCTACTACTACAGGGACTTAAACTGAAACAGCTCTTCAGTACGTCGCTAAAGGAACTTTGCTAGAATTTGCTTTAAAGAAAACTGCATTGTCCGCAAAACCGGCGCTTAAATTCAAGTGCTTGGCCTATCATAAATTGGTCTCTTTCTCCAGATCTTCCCCCCCTTTTTTCCCCAAAAAGGCAAACATTACGGCTCTTTAGAAAGAGACGATCTGGGAGTTGATCACATAGCTATCTTTTCTTTCCGAGGCCACCATTCTTCAGTTGACTATGATACTTAAAGGGCCAAAGTTTAAAACTACTCTCCCGCAATAGAGCCCGTTTGGGCATGCCACCCTGCTATAATCAATGAGAGATTTAAAATGCTGCACATTTGTTTTTTCAATAGGTCCCAAACAAAAATGTTCTATCTGGTTTGTGCTGCATGGCTGAATTTAAGCTCTGCATGGGATTTGCAGCTAAGCTAAGTAATGGGAGAGGGTTTCGGGTTGGTTTTTTTTTTTAACATTGGCTGAAAGATATTCATTCAAATTAACAAAAGATGTATTTTTCCCCCATTTAACAATGCTCTTGATGAAAATGTGTTACTGTTACTTTCCTGTTTTGAAACATTATTTTTATTACGCTCACCGCTCAACTGTAAACAGCACTAAGCCGTGTGCAGCCACCATTTTAGGTTATGATAATCAGCATATTTTTGAAACAAAGATTTTTTATTTTTTTTTTGCAATGCAGAATTCGATACAAGAGGTAATCTGTTCCTTTGTAGGCTAAAAAAAAAAAATCTGGTTTACGCTGGTTTGAACCAGTGGAATCTCTTGTGGCTAAGCCTTCTGCTGTGACTAAAATCAAAACTGCGCCGCAGAGAGCGAGGGAGCGAGATGGGGTGTGTGTGCGTGTGTGCGTGTGTGTGTCTGAGGCACATCACGTGACATAGAAAACTACCGAATTTTTTTTAAAAAAGCTGATAACGCTACCGCCGTCTCTGTCCGCATATAGATAACGAATAAATGCTGAACTCTATTAAACGCCCTTTACACATTATCGTGGGTCGAACACACAATTTTCTGAACTTATGATGACAGTCTATTTATTTTGCTATAAACCCTCGGCATGTAACGAACAGATTTGTGTCTGGTAATGATCTGCTCTGCCAGGGCTATATGAAATGATACCGACCTTCTTTAGATCTTGGGGAATTAAATTGACCAACTTCACCCCCTGGTCTGTAGCTGAAGTTTGACACACTTTATGCACAGCAAGCCCAAATCTAATATTATCAGAACTTTGTAGTCAGAAATTAAGTAGCCACAAAATATTTGTTCACCACAAATCACATATGCAGTGTATGTGTATACGGACACGCAATTTAACCTAATGCAAATTTATTTAAACTTATTAATGAACATAGTTGTGAAAGAGAAAGGAATAGTATTATATTTCAAGAAAGTTGGCAATACTGTACCTGACATTATTTTGGTCAAGAACCATTTCTGACTTAACCCAACATTTACTTTTTAAAAAACATACGAATCGCCACATGAAACAGTTCTATGATTGTTAAAGTGAAGCCATAACTTTAAGTGGTGTATCATTGCACTGAAAAACTCAAAACTTTCAAGGCATTTGATAAACGTTGGTGGCCAGAATGACAAATAAGACTTGAAAGCAACAAAGCCCGTTTAAGACCACTCCTGTAAAATAAATAACAACCCAATGTACACAGTAGGGTTTTGGGTTTGGGGTTGTGAGGTGGGGTTTTTTTCATGTGAGAAGGGATGTTTCCTGATGCTCAACCTTTATGTGCCTCGTCTGACTACATTCACCTGATTCAAATGAAGAAAAAAAAATAATCAAAAACGTATACTAAGCAGTGACTTTGCTAAACTCTTAAGTGCTTAAATAGCACTATATCACTACCTATCTCATTAAAAAAAAAGATGCATTTATTTCAAAAGAAACTTTGAATAGCAGACTTGTATAATTCTTACAACTTCTTACAAGTTGTTCCCATATGCATTATCTGGTAAAATTAGTTAAATCTTGTATAATCTTTATAAGGCCACTGTATTCTAAGTTGCCACCTATACATGACGACTGCTACTTACAGGAGACAGTTTGGAAAAACTAAGACAAAAGATAAATCATCATTTGCTAATTCTTCAATCTGTTCTTTGTACTTCAGTCTTTCTTCTTGGGAGAACAACTGGAAACTTATACCTATGACTCTGTCCATTACAGATTATAACTTGGCTGTGGGTTGCTGCAATTGTACATTTGAAACTCGACTGAAAAAACAGAAGTTGAATAAAGAAAAGATCCAAAGTGTTTATTTTTCCAGTAGTGCCCCATTTATTTCTAGATATTACAGTCATACTAGCCAGTATACATTAAGTTTCTTTTGTCTTCTCACTCCATGAGAAGCATTACACAAACATCTATAATGATGACAAAGACCATACCTAAAACGTGCAGGGCATACCTCTTGTTTCCCTTGGGTAACACCCCAGTCTAACCAGATATTCCGCATTTCTATTGTGAGATTTTGCCAATATTTGTGGATTGGTACAGGAGCAATTCTGAGCTGGCAACTTTTTTCAACAGCTCCTCTGTCAGAAGAGGAATCTCTCCTCTTCTCTCCCCTTTCACCATTTGGTGACTGAATTGGGGAAAACAAACTCACTGTTTTTCAGTTTAACTAATTTAACCTAATCCAAATTTATTGAGAAGTAAGAGTCCTACAATATTAGGGTTAGGGTCAGTCCATCTACCTATATTAATTTCCATCAGACAAATTAAAAGCAAGAATTTGGAACATCTTCAAATATTTTATATGGCTGTAAGTTGTATCTGAGCATCCTTCCATCATCTAGTCCAAGTTTTCTTTTGATATAATAATGGATAGAGTGAATGTGTATCAGACCTGGGGTAAATACGTCCACATAACGTGTTCACTATATGGTAAGTACCCAAACCTTGCACTTCATTTGGATAGCTGTAAATTCTGATCAGATCAACATCTGACTGAAGTTTTTGCACTGCTTGTACCTATAACTACATGCCTGTAAGATAAATACAAATATAAATAATGATATTTCATAAGAAAAAGAGATTGTGAGATTAATTATTGGAACAACACAATAAATATTATTCTTTAAAAAAAAATACTGGTATTCACATATTTAAAAGAAGTTAGGTGATTCCTTTATGGTGATATTTCATAACCGTTTTCAAGGAAGAAAGAAAAGAAATTCAGAACTTTCAAAGGTACAGGGGTAACAATTTCAAGTTGGGTTATAGAAAAGTATTTTGATTACCTAAAAGATTACATAAAACTCCTTCACCACCCAAAATTTTCTTCCATCTAAGAAGCGGTCATTTGGAAGGAAAAATTCGTGTTGACAAATGGTTAAAGGTATCATTTGGTTCCTTGAGATGAGACCACGTTTCTTCCATCACATTTAGAAAAAAGATCATAAGTCACAAAAGTGCACATGTGAACCAGTTATTTAACCATTCCTTAAAAAGTGAAAATAAAATATTTTATCTCATCCCTACACATAAGATATTCTGTTATAAGTAAAGCTTCTTATCACAATTGCCCTTTTATGTCTGAATTCACACATTTTTTTCTTGAAATGTAAAAATAGCAGCACCTTAAAAGAAATAAAATGAGAATCTTAACACTTTCACAGGACTGAGTTTATGATCGTGACATGCAGACTGTGAAACTCTTTTCCCTAAAATCATCCTTTCCTTATTTAGGGATAAAAAACCCTCCTTATTTTATTCAAATTTTGGAATCTCCCCTTGCTACAATATATAAATATGAAGATTAATATCTTTTAAATTTAACTCTTCGCATAGATATTAGAGCTGCTATACAATCTACTACAGTCTTACATCTACAGATATATTGTATCTTGTGCATAATTTAATTAATGTATGTATTAAAGTCTATTACAAAGTTTAAAACCTACATAGCACATTTAAAATACTGTATAAGGTTAAGGTTTAAGGGGTCCGTGTTTTAAAATTCATTGCATGGGGATAAGTCTCCAGGTCTTTCTTTTCTTCTGTTCTTAGTGGAACTGAGCTTATGTTGATGGTAGAAGTTACTAAAAATTTCAGAACACGGTTCTGATCTGTTTCATTATTTAATATTGCATTTATCAAGTAAACATTTAAATAATTTTCACTTTCACTACCAAAATAATTTAAATTCTATCTGGTCAGAAGAGAAAATCAGATATTTCAGAAAACTTTCAACTAACTTCTATCTCAAAATGCACAACTTTGATTACAGCTGACATGATTTTCAAAAAGAAAAGAAACATCCTGCTTTCAGACAGAGCTTGTCAAACAAGTTTCTGCCCCAAAAGAAATATTAACAGGTGGGTCAAAGTCCCGTGAATATCATATTGTCTTTATAATTTTCCATAGTCTAGCAGGATCCTCACCGTAGTTGGAGAACAACAATACGGGTGCAAGATTTTAGAAAAGCCTCAGGATTATCAAGCTTTCCTTCATTAAAAGAGATGGATAGCATTCTGCGTTCTAGTACAACGTGCATTATGAAAGCATGCTCTTATTAGTACAACTTGTGGTTTTGGTACAAGGAGAGAAAATCTGTTTAGGGAAGGAATCACACAAGGAAACTGAGTGGGGTACTGCCTAATTCTGAGAGTGCACTTTCATTTGTTTTGCCTGCCAGTGTTGATTTAATTATACTGCTTTATTATCAAAGCTGCATTATGTACTTTTTTTATTCCTTTTACATGTGTTTGAGGTGAAGACCTTGGCTTTGTCGGCAAACAGCGCGTTTCAAGTTATTTCTTAAGTACTAAATAATAAAGAAAAGAGAAGAAAAGATTTTTTTTAAGATAGCAGACAGTGATCACAAGTTAAAGGGTTAAATGTAAGATCTCCAAGAAACATTTTGAAGTTGATTAAGACCCCAGCTTTGCATTAAACAGTATCACTTCCACATGAGTTGTTGCTAATGCTGTTAAGGAGCAGCTTGAGAAGCCCAGTGTGCCAGTGACCTCCTTCACCCTCCAGCCACCCACTAGGGCTTCTTGATTAGCATCCTACCTGGTTCTCTGAGGAATTCCCGTCATCCCCTAGGAGCTCATTCCGCACCTCATCACTGTAGGCGATCCGTGACCTTTTCTGTAAAACAAAAAGAAAAAAGGGTTAGGAAGTAAAGCACCGAAGCCATTGGTATCACGGCTGATCATCTTAAACCTCGAGAGCCCCCTAATGGATACCTATTTGATAAAAAAAAAAATACATCTGCAAGTAAAAGTTATTAAAAAGTTCTTCAACTGCTCTATTTTGGCAAATCTGCATGGCAAAACCTTAGCATTGCTAAGGCAGTCACATCCTCAGCATTTCAGCAATGAAAGTGGTTTCAGTGAAGCTCGAGTTACAGAATGTGTGATCCCAGTTCTGGTAATCAGGTAACCTTGACAAGCAATATACACTAATATCAGAAGCATTGAAGAAACGCGTGTGTAGGAGCCAAATGTATTGTTCTGAAGAACGCTCGCTACCTGGGCACAGAACTCGGTGTAACACTGCAGTGATGCCACTAAATAGGAAAGGAAGACTGAGCTTTTCCCATATAAAAAAAACTGAACAACACACATTTGACAAAACCGGTTGAACTTAACGATGCAGAAAATTAGCAAGTGTTTCCTAGGCTGCTAAGGCTATGACGGCATAGAGGGAAAGGACCAGAAACCAAAGGGCAAAAGAAAGGAGAGAAAACAACAGTACAAGGTGACATTGGCTTACAGCTGTTCACAGAAATACCACAAAACTGAGGCAGTCATTCATTAGATTGTTACAACAGTCGTCATTGACAGCTTATGAGCACCCGATTTGCTCATGAACTGATCATCACATTGATTGTAAACTAGATAGGGATTTGATACACATCAAGTGCTGAGCAACGGAAAGCAAACGTCTGAAGATTACCAAGCTAGCACAACGTTCAGTGGAACAACGGGAAGGTCCATAAGGAGAACATCAGCCCAGCCTTCAATTTCTTTGTTGGCCAAATAACAGGCCCTTTGTCAGTTAATATTCCTACGCTCACCATTAAAAGAGAGAAAGGATTTTTAACATATTGTCTAAAATCTTTCTATATTTGAGTGCGGTTATGATCAGTTTTACACTTCTTCAAAGGAAGAAACCCAAGAGCAGCAAGAACTAAGCTGTAGGGCCTTCCTTTATTGACAGGAGCTTCCCCCACACTCTGCCGTGCCAGCCACTACTGGCAGGAACTCAGCAAAATCAAATCCTTCCGCAAACCTTCCCTAATTGGACAATCATGCCAAAAACTGTGCTGGGGCCGGGGCACAGGTAACAACCCACTAGACATTATACTGAGCACTGGGAAATTCATTACCTTTGTGCCAAAGAAGTTTGGAAGTGCGTCACCCCTTATGCTAGGAACCTAGCGGTGGAGTAAGCCTTGTATTGGTCATCTCAGAGCAACACATTTTTGCTTTTTATCCTGCGCAGTTCGCCCTTTATTACCATCATCATCGTTACAACGCTTACCAGTTTGTGATTCAGTCGCTAGTGTTCAGATCTAGATTATATACTAAAGCTACAGATGTACGTAGCAAGGACAAAGCATACCATGGACCGACTACAAGAGCTGAATTGTGCCAAATCTTTTGGAGATCTCAGCTGTCACAGTTTCATACTAACCAAGCTAAAGTAGTCTACAGCATTAAAGGAAATGAGAACCTTTAAACAGGCTGTGGTATCAGAGCTGCCTGTTTAAATTATTCATTTCATCACTATGGGGGACTAAAACACTCCACAGTATGCAAGAATATCATATGGAGATAGGTTTTGTTTTTCTCTTTTTTCACCAAAAAGCCAACAAATTGGCATAGATTGCTCAATTATATTATTTTCCTATTTTTATTTGATACACATCAAACAAGAAAAGAAATTACAAATATATACCAATAAATATCTAATCTTCTTTTCTGATTAAGATTCAATCTTCCCATTTGAGGACTAGCAGTTCAACTGTACAGTTTCTCCCAGTTTCACAAAATGACTCAGCCCCATTGATTCTGTTCGTGTTGAATGTATTTATCATTATTAGACTGAGATGAGGAGCATGATCCTTCATAAGCTTGTTCTCCAGCGAACAAGTTGCCTAATTATATGTAGAGACTGAGATGGTCCTTGGTTACACATCATTTATTTGAAAGATTTAACTGGCTGATATTCTCATTCATAAGAGCCTGCATGGAAGAAAGGAAAAAGAATTCTCTTCATGGGAAAGAAATAAATGTTAATAGCAATACAATTTTTAGATGCCCTTTATAATCCTTTATATCATCACCACCGAACTTAATAAATATATTTGTATCATTGTTCTTTTATTGCAATAATCTGTCATGATCTGAAAATCAGCAATTATATTAAAAGAAATAACCCTTTGACTACAATTAGGTGTAACTCTTTGCCATAATCAATAAATAATTTGATACTACTTTTGATCACAGTTTCACTACCAAATGAATCAATAATATAAAAGGAAAGGCCTTTGAACTAAAGTGTTCGTTTGTTCTTTCAGGATTTGTCCAAAATATCAATATCTTGAATTACTATTCTTATTTCTATTGGTGAACACTTTTAAATGTAGCTATCAAAATTAGTTCGGTTTGTCCAAACTCAATAACTGAATAATTTTTAGGTTTTTATTTTTTTTTTAGTTCGTAACTATCAGCTGTTTATAAATATGTACTTCAGCCAAATGCAAGAATGATAGTTTGAGCTGGAAATGTCACATACTCTGCTACAGTTTGAAGGAACCCAATTCATAATGCATTTTATAAATAGTTAATGACTTCTATACATAAGCTAACCAGGCAAATCAAGAAATTGTCAACATTTTTAGTCTTAGTTGTCAGTTACCACTGTCTACTGGTACTTTATATGTATGTTTCTAGAAAAGACAGAAGCTTTACAGAGTTTGTAATCCAAGGCGTTTCTGGGCAGCTCAGTATAGGTTTAAGGGGTTCTGTGTGCAGTTTTGTGCCTCTAAAGGTCTGTCATATATAGAAGTTTTCCTCGTATTCTGTATTTTCTTGTATATACACAGACAAACAGCCTAAGCACACAAGTGTTTTTAAGCCCCTGTACACGTTTGCATTCCAGTGTGGCATGCACACGAACGCACGGTGACACAAAAGGGTTAAGCTGCTTTCCACAAGAACTTCAAGACAGAGAAAGTTTCAGGGGCTGTTTTAAATGTAGTACAGTACCCAGACCTTCTGACAAGGAAGAATTTCTGATTCCAGGCAGATCTCTCTTGGTTTATGAACAGGATTTTTGCATACTGATTGGGTGATTTTCTTAAAGCCCTGTTCAAACAGATACACTTGCTCAGTTCTGTCTGGCAATTTGGCTTTAAACAATCTGTCTACTTGACCCAAGCCTTAACATTTCCCAATAGAACTGAATGTGTTCATGGGCAAGCGCAGCTAAATTAGAATTGAAATGAATTAACTCAGCTTAAACTAATTAAGATCTGTGATCTGCAGTACCACCCCCCTGTATGATTCTACATGTGAAGTAGGGTACATGTAACCAGACTGTAAGAATTCTGCTATACTACTAATCTGAGCATAACAATGAAGTTCGTCTATTACTAAAGCATATGAGAAGTTAATTTCCATGGCCTACACATGGCAAAGCAATTGCTTAAATTGCCTCACCTGGGAATTTAATACAATGTTATCATCAGACCAGCCACACTGTAAATAGATTTATAATGCTTTCCATGTGCTAGGCTAGGTTGCATATGAATTAAGTAATGATCTGGTATTACAATACAATCAGCTAGTTCCCACACCTGGCAGACAGGATATTTTGCTAAATTACTACCTATACAGATACATCACAACATAAAAACAGAAAAGGCAATGGGAAGAGAAACAATCTCCATGGTGTGTGACCGATTTTTACATGGTAACCAAATAAGATGTAGATAGAAAGAGGTATCCAAAATAATCTGTTCCCAACATCTGCACAACAGAACGCAGACTTATTCATTTCTATTCAATTTTGGCCTAATTTTCCGCATTCTATACTTTAATTACTCATCCACATTCTGAAATGTTCCCATTAGTGAAGGCCAGAACTAGCCAATGCCCCCTCACTCCAACGCACTTTCAGCAATCAGCCAAATAATTGATATAAAGTATCGCACATTTTCATACCTGAAGAAAAGAATAGCTTTCCTCCTCCTAAATGCTCCGCGGCCCCTGAACAGAGATGCAAGCCCAGGTGCATTTCAGACAAAAGGCCCAGCAAATCCTTTCGTCCTAACCTCTCCGTTTTCCGGGCTCGTTGTTTTAAGAACAGATTAAACAGACTTTTTTTTTTTTTTTTTTTTTGTGAAACACGCATAAACAAACAAGTTATATTTACCCACAAACATCTGCTTTCATAGAAAATTCATTAGCATTTTCCAGTATATGTTTAAATGTTTTAAAAAAAATCTTCAGGCATGTGTTTCAGAGTTTGGCCCTGCTCTAGATGTAAATAAATACTCGAGATTAGGATAACCAGAAAGAATCTGTAGGAATAAATTGAGATTTTATTTCGTGTTTTTTGAGAGTAGCCAGTTTTGGCCTTGCTCTTGCTAAAAGCAAGGTGAAAAAAGTGACCTGATCCTCAAATGGACTGCTAAATACTGCAGAATGTACACTTTCATCTCTGCCGTTCAGAATTGATACTTAAGTATTTTTGCTGAGCAAAAATGGAAGAGATACAATTTAACAAATTTAGAAGAAAAATAAGTGATCCTTCTTAACAATCTTAAAGCTTATATCTAAGCAGAAACACAAAAACACTTCTTTGGGAAATAAAATAATTGAAATTGCTTAAGAAATTGTGTTCCGACTTCAGCTTTCAAACCTTCTACATTTCTCTGTAAAGGTGATCCAGGAACAATAGACTGGACACTTCAGACTGCAATTCGAAAGGGGTTTTCCTGTTCCTAAGTAGCTTAGTTTTCATTGATTGCGTGTGAGAAGCAGGAAAACCATCACATAGTGCTAATATATGACCTGATGTAATGCTGCAGTTTCAAGCATTTCCTTACGAAAATAAAAAAACCAAAGCTGATACAT